ATAACTGTAGCCATGTTGATACCCTTAAAATTAACAAAGGTCTGAAAAAATGTTTAAGTGCAATTGTAGTGTTAATTATAAAGAATTTGAATTTTAGCATTTTAAAGTTTTTGGAGTTTTTTGAGTGCAATTCTAACTTTGCATTAGTGTTTACATTTTATAACTCAATTTTATTTTTATGAAAATGATGTTAAGATGCATATTCAACCTGAAATAAAATTTATGCACAAAATGTTAAAGTACGTTTATTCATTATTTTTTCTTCTATTCTAGTTACTATTTCTGGAAATGGAGAAAATGGTAAGGCACTCTTACTTTCAATTTAAGTGGAATTACTTTCAATTTAAGCGTACATTATCTTAATTGCACCCAACATACTTTTTATTTAGTGATAAATGTGTTTCTGTTTTTCAAAAAAAAATACGTATCTTCGAAATTTAAGTAATTAAAAGGAGTTGTAGTATTGGGTTTATTACCATACATTTTAATGTAGTCTCATTTTGTGTTATTTATATAAATCGAAGTAGCCATTATTTTGTAAGGCACCTAGTAACCAAACTTCTTTGTGTATATTTATATAAATATTTCTGCCTTGTGTGTTCTTCAGAACTCTTTAGATTCTTAATATCAGTTCTAGCTAGGTCGAGGAGGGGATTCTTTTTCATGATGTCTAAATTTTATTGATGGTTCTCTTTTGTTTATGCATTTGTTAAAAACAGTACTTTACTACTCACAGATATTTAATGAAATAACCAGACTGTAAATTTGTAAATTGTATTACTAGTTCAGGGCAATTAAAGTTTTTTTTTTTTTTTTCCTTTTTGTCTTTCTCGTGACCGGTAACGGGATCGCAACCCTCGGTGTCGTGCCCGCACCACGCTCAACCANCGGAATCTGCAGTTTGTTCAGATAATTAGACCAGAGGTAAGGGCAAAAGTACACACATTGTAGATTACAGAGGGCCTGTAGTGTTTGCTGCCCTGAAGATTTTGGACTTTGCTCTGAAAGTGACTCAGAGATGTTGAAAAGTATTCAGTCATGAGATTTGCGATGGTGAGGGTGTGTTAAACTGATAGTAGGAAGATGCCTTAAGTTATTGCATTTGAGGAAGGCAGTGAGAGGGATTGAAGAAGTGATAACTTTGAAATATACTTAGGTAGTAGAATCAACAGGACCTAGAGGCCATTGGACTATCCAGAAAGAGTAAGTAGCAGTTCCCAGGGTTTCAGTCTTTGTAGACTGAATGGTTGCTGGATCTATTCATCCAGACAGTATAAGAGGCGGAAAAAAATATGAGACATTGAATTAACTTTTCCATGCTTAGTCTAATTCTTGAATATTTGAGTGTTCAGAGAAAAAGCACTCTGAAAATTATTGGGATAAGTTCCTTGACTTTTTTCTATAGAAAAATAAATTTGTCTTGCCAATAGCTTTCACAAAGAGGTTGGTAAGGTACGTCACAGGCTAATAAGTTATGAGTGCCATAGAGGGACAGTCCTATTCATTCTGCAGCTATCATTAGGAAAGAGCTAAAGAAAACATCACAATAACTGTAGCCATGTTGATACCCTTAAAATTAACAAAGGTCTGAAAAAATGTTTAAGTGCAATTGTAGTGTTAATTATAAAGAATTTGAATTTTAGCATTTTAAAGTTTTTGGAGTTTTTTGAGTGCAATTCTAACTTTGCATTAGTGTTTACATTTTATAACTCAATTTTATTTTTNCCTTTTTGTCTTTCTCGTGACCGGTAACGGGATCGCAAACCTCGGTGTCGTGCCCGCACCACGCTCAACCAGTGAGTGGACCGGTCTCTATATGGGATCTGAACCCTGAGCGGGAGCGCCGCCGCACTCTACCAAGTGCGCCACCGGGCCGGCCCTGGGGCAATTAAAGTTTTTATAATGATTAGTCAAAGAGACAATGCCTAGAGGGAAAAATCATTTCTCAAAATTTCACTGAGATGAAAGGAAATTTTAGAAGTCCATTGAGATCAAATTTCAGAACTAAAATTTGATTTGACATACAAAAATTTAGAGGATTTCTGAAACATTTGAACAGTTAGAAGTTATTAATAAATGTTTATTCCCGTTATTGGAGATTATTAGGTATTAAACATGTAAATCTCAAATTGCCTTGAAATCTAGCTTCTCAATAACAAGTTAAATATAGACTCAATTTTCGTAGGCTCATTTTTCTTTCTTTAAATCAAAACTTTTCTGTATGTTGAAAGCACAGATAAAGCATAGAATTTCAGAAGTCTTTATAAAAGAACTTTTAACTTGTATCATTATCTCTTGGGGCCATTTTTACTATGTCTCTCAAAAAGTGTTTTAATCAAATTTTTTTGATTGCTTGTTTATTTGTCTTTTAATTCAGTTACAGGTGATTTTTGAACATAGATTTTTTTTTTTTTTTGTAGGTTCAGGTTTTTCTTTCAGTTTTCATTTAATTTGCTAAGATTAAAACTAATATTTTACTTTATACTTTACTTGTAATGAATGGTTTATCAAATATATGTGACTAGAAGTTTGTCTATTAAAAACACATTAATTTTAACTTGGTTAAAAGCAGTATTTTCTATTATTCTTTACTCATTATAATTTAATAATTACCATCTGTTAAGTACTTGCTATATTCCAGGCATTGTGCTAAGAGATTTATTTTATCTATTTTTCATTTAACTGAGAATTAATGTATTTTAAAGCAAAACTATTTTGTTTTGTTCTTATACAGAGCAGAAATATTCTAAAAATACACTAAAAAGTATATTGTTTTACATTCTAGTCTTAGTTGTAAGTAAATGATTAAGAAGTTTGAAGTATCAAAGTTATCCTTTATTTCAAAGCTGTACAATAGTATGTAAATGAGGGATGACAAGCTTGATGGTGTCTAGGGGCCAGGCAAAAATACAAATGAGGGAGGGAAGTTGGGCGCAGATTACATCAACACTACAGAGTTGACAGATGGCCTCAGTGTTGGTGTTACAGTAGGAGACTAAGCTTCTGCATGCTTTTCCAAAAGAAAAACAAATGAAGCACTGACATTGAGTCCATTACGTAGACCACAGGTTTCAACCTGGAGGAGCTGGCAGGATAGAGAATGCAGGTTTTAAGAAGCCAGAATTTTCAGTGTGGATGGCCATCAGCATTAGTGGCAGTGAAAGAGCACGTTTTAGAAGTTGTGGTTAGGATTTTAACCTGGCATACAGTGTGAGCTCAGAAGTAGAATGTGACTGTTAAAATAATGGTTAAAAATAAAAAATTAGGTGTGACATAGTGAGAAGAACCTTGGATTTTATCAAGCAGATACGGGTTTGAATTCTGGCTTTATCATTTAGTAATTAAGTTATATTGGGCAAGGTGGTAAATTCTCTGAGCCTCAGTGTTTACATTGGTAAACTGGAAGAATACCTTACAAGATTACTGTGGGAGTTAGAAATAAGGCATACAGGGGCCGGCCCGGTGGCGCACTGGATAAGTGCGCCGCTTGGGAAGCGCGGCAGCGCTCCCGCCCGAGGGTTCGGATCCCACATACAGACCAGTTCCCGCTCACTGGCTGAGCGAGGCGCGGGAGCAGCACCGAGGGTTGCAATACCGTTGCCGGTCCCCGGTCCGGT